GTGGATTGATTCAGTGACTGGGGTAATCAGATGGGTGTGTCAGAGGCCATGCGGTTATCACAGGAGAGAGCAGGGTTTAGGGCTGTTGTACATAGGGTCTCTATGAGTTGCAAATGACTCAACAGCCCATAACAACAACAACAACATTTTTTTAAGGCACTGGGAACTTCCGTGAAAATTAATTAAAAAATGTATTATAAAAAACCGTACAATGACTGTCCAGGAGGGCGGCTAGCCCCCTGCCTGAACAGGTAAAGCAGAGGACCCCCAAAGCTGCACGCAACTCAGTCGGGCCCAAAGGCGTGCGGCCCTCAGGCCAAGACGAAACTTCTATGCACCAGTTCCATAGGACACATCATATCAGCTTGGGACACATTACCACTAAACTTAGGAGACTCTGGTCACAGCATAGGAAACTGTTAGTAGCTAATGAATCTGGAATCACAGAAACCAAGGAAGCTTTGGATATAAGCTATAAGATCAAGGGCGAAACAATGGAAGACAGGTGATGAAGGGAGTGGATAGAAGTGGAGGGGTATCTCGATGGATGGTGGAGTAAAGAAATAAGTGGGTCAGGGCACTTCAGCCAAGGGCAGGGACAACACCGAAACTAATGGTTAATTCCAAAATAAGGGATATATTTTCACTTTTTCTGTGAAATGTTTATCTGTTGGATACTTCTGTATATCTGAACATTCAGACTGACATACACTAGGAAGAAGGATTGGTCATCCACTTCCAATATAGCAGGCCACTGAAAACCTTATGTACAACAGAACACATGTAGAATGACAGAAAGGACAACTGAGTATGGAAATACAAAGGAAGCGGAACTGTTGTAAGCAGACACTAGTGATTGGAACATGGATGTGAGAACCATGAATGTGGGAAAATTAGATATTGTTAAGGAGGATACGGAACACATAAATATAGACAGGCTAGGCATTGGTGAGATGAGATGGACCGGCATGGGGCATTTTGAATCAGATTATCATACGATATAGTACTCTGGAGATGAAAAGGTGAGGGAAAGTGGGGTTGCTTTCATAGTTAGAAAAGCCATTTCTAGATCCGTCTTGAAGTACAATATTGTGAGTGACCCCATAATGTCCATACACATACAAGGAAGTCCAGTGAGTACCACTATCATTCAGATATATGCACCAACAACCAGAGCCAAGGAAGAGGAAAAATAAGATTTCTACCAACTTTTGCAGTCGGAGATGGATCGAACATGCAATCAAGATGCATTGATAATGATGGGTGACTGGAATGCAAAATTTGGGAACAGAGAAGAAGAATCGGTAGTCAGCAAACATGGACTCTGAGACAGACATGGCGCTAGAGATAGAATGATTGAATTTTGCACAATTAATGACTTATTCTTCGCAAACACCTTTTT